AAAAATAAATAATTAAATTTAAACATTAAAAATTAAAAATTAAATTTATTGAAATTAATTAGAGAAAGTATAAAAAAATTTATTTATTACACTCTTAACATCTATTGTTAAAGCATATTTAAAAAAAATCTTATTAGTAAATAAATTTACAATTAATTCTAATATTCAAAGAATAATGATAAACAAGCTAAAATTTTAAAATTAAAATTAATAATATGATATAAATTATATTATTTAAAATTTTTTAAAAAATTTTATATTAATGATATAATTTATTCCATGTCATTTTGGAAAATTTTCATTTAAGTTTTGGTAATATCTCATGTGTATCACTACTAGTCTACTACTATTGAAAATGTTCAAACACCTTAATAAGCATACCAATGAAACGACGCCGCATACTCACTTCTAAGACTCCCCACCGCATCTTCTCCTCCGCCGGCAGCGCTTAATTCCTCTCAAGTTTGATTATTACTCTCGTTGATCACTCTCTCTCAAAGCTATTCTTCTTTCACAGAAACAAGCAGACTCAATAGCCAGCCAGCCAACCATGTCTGCGGATTCCGCCAGCGCAATTCAAAGAAGCCAAGTATGTATACCAAGTTTCAACCTTTTTTTTTTTTTTTTTTTTTTATCCATATCCCTCAAATACCTGCTCGATTCATGAGAAAGCTGTGAAAAAAAATGGAAATTGATGGGAAAAGGGAAGTATCAGACAACTGGGTTTTTTGAGGTGTAGTGTTTTAGCGTAAAGATTTATGCTTTTTTCTCTTCCCAATTCAGTTTTGGGTAATTAGCATGTGGGAAGATCGAAATTATTCCTCTGATGATGTGTTTTTGGTGTGTAGGTTGATCTGCTGGACTTCATTGACTGGTCTGGAGTTGAATGTCTTAACCAAAGTTCTAGTCACTCTCTTCCCAATGCTCTCAAACAGGTATCTTTCTAGTTCAAGTAGTGGAGGAGACCTTGTTTTGTTGAATAATGTTTGTTTCTGTATATATTTTTCTTTTCAAATAGTGGGTTTATGGATGGTCAATTCATTATGTTATTACCCTCTTGCATCCCATTGCAGCAGTGTTAGTTGGTGATGTGTTGAGTAGAACTTCTTTTCTTTTGATTTCTGTGTGTGATCCATTGAGGATCACGGGTTCTTCCATTAAACTTAAGTGACTTTTTTGTGAGCTAGGGTTACCGGGAAGATGATGGCTTGAACTTGGAGAGTGATGCAGATGAGCAGCTTCTGATTTACATCCCTTTTACTCAAGTTATTAAATTGCATTCTATTTTCATCAAAGGACCTGAAGAGGAAGGTACTGGCTTCTGTTTTCTATTTATTTACCTTTCGAGTGCTTTTCATTGTTTTCTTGCTGCATGCATGCATGAGAAGGTTTAACTGGAAGGTCCATAAGACTCTGGAGTCTTAACATATCTCTGTTTATAGCTCTTTATAAGGGTGTAAGATTTCATTCCCCTTTAGTGGAGTTGTTATCTACAATTTTGTATGCTCATTGTCCTTGCATATTTTGAGTTAATAAAGGCTTGGACTTTTGGAGTTATGTTCATGGAAATATGTTCTGTGTTTTAACTTGAAGGACTATCTATATTTTGGGAAGGAGTAAAGGAGTTGAGCAATTAGTAACTTGGCATCCTTTCAGGTTGTTGATGTGTCTAATATTTTAATCTGAATGTTTTTTTTTTTCAGGCCCTAAGACTGTTAAACTTTTCGCTAACAAGGAGCATATGGGATTTAGGTAAGTGTTTCTAAAAATAATCACTTGTCCTAGACTGTTTTGTTTAGTTTCAGGTGTTGTGCTTTACTAATGTAGCATTTAATTTATGAAAATGCAGTAATGTTAATGACTTCCCCCCAAGTGATACTCTTGTTTTATCCCCAGACATTCTGGAGGTAGTTTTTTCTATTCTCAAAAAAAAAAAAAAAAAAATAGGTAGAGGGTG